AGTGGTCTAGAGACCCATACTAAGATGAGACGATCATGCAGTGATTTTAGGTTTTCAATGGTAATCTAACATTGATCAGTTCATCATCTAAATAAAAACTATGATTATTCTTATCATTATCAAGGGATGATTTTTTTGAGTAGTTAGGAACCAAGTGTTGGTTTTATTCACTTTAGAGAAAATAGAACACATAATCTATCAAAAACAGTTCACAAATGAAAGTCAAGGCAGATTGTGTTTCACTATATATACATGAATTGTTTACTTTAATAAGAAGAATATGTTTGTGAAGAAAAACATTTGAAAATAAATGACGTTAAAAGTTTATGAAAACAAATTGTAAACATTGTACTTGAAAAAAAGACAGAGAGAATACTTTTACAGTAGAAAAAAACAATAACAAACTACAGTCATTTCTATCAAACAATAGACAGATATTCATTTTCGGCATTTACAAAATAACTTAAAATAAAAACCAGTACTACATAGTATACACTGAATCATTCAGGTGTACGATAGGAAAACATTTTTCCGGGTTATCGATTGCTCACTTTCATGGTGAATGATTTTCACGCCTCTATGTTACCTCAATTTAAATACGTCACTAAAAAATGATAAAACAGGATACAAGCTCACGCTATTAGTGCTAACTAAGTTTTGCTTCACTGATCTGACGTATAATTAAGGTAATAATGATAGAAACTAAGTGTATTTTGGTTGATCAATTTAAATGTCATTACCAAACTGCCATTGATATTTAACGAATTTATTTATTTATTTAAACACATAAACAATGGTACAAGGAGGCACCAAATAGATATGTACCACATAAATTATTAAATATGTGCAAAGGCTGGGATATTGCGCGGGTGCCCAAACCGAAGCAGGTGGTTTGCCTACGGGACCACACCCCGAGCCCTTGAGCTAAAGGTCTGAGCAACTTTAGAAGATGCAGTCCCATGGTAGCCGGTGACCAACAATAGGTTCATACGCCATTTGTTTCCTTAACATCCTGGAGTCTATGTGCACTATTGGTTTGGAATCAAGGTTCTTAAACTTTCCTAAATGGATCCTCCATGTCCATTCATCAACAAGAGAGATGTATTGTTTATCAGCATTATCACTATCTTCGAATAAAAAAGAGTAGCTTGGTAATTTAGGTTGTCCAGCTTATTTAAATTAGATATATTAATGATAAGAATAAGTTTTGTTTTGGCCGCCAGAAAGTGTAATTTGTTCTGAATCCATTTTCAACGCAACTTCGAGAACTACTACAACCAGCTTTATAAAGGTACAAGTATTTATAAATAGTTGTCTACACAAGATACTCAATGTCTGTTGACCCAATACCATCAGCAACAACCTACTATGGGAGAGAACAAATCAGCTACCAGCTCAAGAGGAAATCTGGAAAAGACGATGGAAGTGGATATGACATACATTGAGGGACATCAAAAGAATGAATAGCAATTGGAAGGAACTTTAAAGGACAAGGTTGGATGGAGAGTGCTAGTGGAAGGCCTATGCTCCTCCACGAGGGGTAACAGGCGTAAATGATATAGACATTCAAAAATGAGATATATGTACTTTATTTTATTGCCCTAATACAATGGGGAATAATTGTTGATTGAGTGACTAATCTGAGCATTGTTATGCTTTTTAATCGGAATGTATATATATATATATATATATATATATATATATATATATAAACAGCCAAAATGACTTGTAATAAGGCTTAAGTTTCCTTGGTCTGATATTTCAATCTAAATGCATTTCTGAGTCATGTGCGAATAAAGGATGAATGTAATAAGTATCGTTTTAAAAATATGCCATAAAATACAGGACTTTTTTTATAACATAGGCTTGATAAACCTTAAATAGTTAGCACTCAATATATACTTTAATTGACTTGTATATCCAATAGGACTGTGAGCTTATTAGTTAGAATGAATTCAAGGGACCTTGAGTATGAGAAGTAACATGATATTCAATCACATTCCAATTGATTCACTAAACATATCAGGGCTGAATGATAATAATTTAGTCAGATAAATTTATGTTTTTATAAATAGTTAAGAAAACGACATGCAATTAGAATAAATCTTGATTTATTGAACCTGAGGCTGTCAGTAAGGATGGTTTGAGAATATTTCTCATGAATTTATAGCTACAGTAAATTAATCCTTTTGTTTATTCCTTTTAGTGTTTGAAGGGAGTTCAAGTCTGATCGCTCTTATTAGGTTTTGAATAATCCAAGATGAATGTTTTGAACTGTCAAAAGATATCTTGACGTCAATATTAGGTATCTAATGTAATCATTAATTCAAGTTCATTACCAGCTGAAGATTTAATCGAAAAAGCTGCCAACCATTCACATTATTTATATTTTGATATAATGTGAATTTTTAAACTACCAATAAAAACCATCTAAAGCTACTATTGTAGAGAATGAGAGTACAGTTAGGGACAACCAAATCTGTTTTAACAAATCGTTATAGAATATCTTGATAAATCCTGAAATCCATAAAGTAAACATTTCATTTACAAAATGTCAACCAGTTGTCTCAGAATTGATTGTTTCTTCGTTTCCATACCAATCACTTTCTGTTCTCGTTCTCTTTTCTTTAATCTTCTTAACCTTGTGCCACCAGGCATTTCACTTTCGTTTGGTGATACATACTACTTATATCTGTCGATATCAGTAACAAACACCACACTAAGATCATTCCTGAAACACATACCTAAATATAATTTATAATTATTAATAATTAATTAATTTAATTTTTTGATAAACATTATTTTTGTAAATATTATTGTCTATATCTACAAACTAAATCTAAAACTAATTTAAATGGTTGAGATCATGACTCAATTGAAGTTAGACCATCATGAAAAACCTGGAAGTACTGAATGGCCGTTTCGTCCTATTTTCGGACTCCTCAGCAATGTGCATTCACGATCCCGCCTTGCGAGATTTAAACCCAAGACCTATCAGTCTCGCACTCGAGCGCTTAACTACTAGACCACTGACTCATTATCTCAACCAATGAAATTACTACAATCTTTACAAAACCCCTTCTGATACTAAAACTAATTGCTCATCCAAAATAAATTTATGATATTAAGGTAAAAATTTATTCAATCTAATCGTTTATTCATTTAAAATTATTTTCTTTTAATTCCATTTAATCTTTTTATTAAACAATAATTTCATAATAAAAACAAAAATAAAACAAAAACACTAGTTTATTGTTATCATTGCCAATATTTGGCTAAATTATTTGAATATAAATAATCTAATTTATTGGATAATAATGACGTAAGAATTGAAAAACAAAATCAATATTTTTTTTCTATTTATCGATCTATATTATAAGAAAATTGGTTTTGTTTTTTGTTTTGTTTTAAATTACAGTAGTATTTAAAGTAATTAGAAAATGTATTTTGGTTTTTATTTATTTCCTTCATATTCAGATAATATAACCTACATTGTAGGACAATTGATCGCTTAAGAAGCAATATACATTCATATGTACTAAATATTAATGATTCTTTTTTGTATGACGTTTATGTCAAGTGTATGGGATTAAAAGTGGTATTAATTGTTTATGATGAAATGAAGTAACTGAGTTCTTTCGAATAAGCTTTCTTTGAAATCCTAGATATATTTTATAAGAAGTAATGTTTAGATATTAACGAAACGTTTCACAATGGTTAGATGCTATTTAACTTATTTTATGAAATTTAAATAGCTGCAAACTGATAACATCAAGTGAATTATTTAAAGTGAGCGAGAACAGATAGTGCGATGATTGTGCAGCACGACTCTATCTATGGTCCCACATAAGATTAGATGTGAAATGTTCTCTTATTGTTGTAAATAAGCTATCTCAAACAAGTCAATTTATATCTACTAGTCCAAAATCTTGGTTTCTTTAATTTTACTGACTCTTCAGTCATTGTCATTATATAACAAAAATTATATTTCAATCAAACTTATGTCTAAAAACTATACAATCAAACGATTTAAGCTAAGTTTTATTATTTATATCTAGCAGTCAACTGGTAGGTTGAACACTTCCTCTGTCATATCTATATATACATAAATATATGGCTATTAGTCTTTAATTCCTAATTAAAGATTCATAATACTTAATCATTGTGATCAATCTAATATTTCATTTGGCACTGAATTAAACATGTACGTAAAACTCCTTAATCTAACATATATTTGATAATTTAATTCGAATGCATCTCAGTCGATTTAAAAGCCTTTTAACACTGTTTATTTCATATTTTCTAATGAATGTACATAAACTTTAATACTTTACTTGGTGGAGTTATGTTAGTATGCAATGTAAAACTGTTGTGGTATGTGCTATTAATGTCAATATATAAGTAGTATGTATTATCAATCGAAAGTGAAATACCTGAAGGTAGAAGGTTAAGAATATCCAAGAGAAGAGAACGAGAACAGAAAGTAATTGGTGTGAAAAAGAAGAATCAGTCAAGTTTGGGACAGTTGATTGACGTTTTACAAACGAAGTATTTACTGTATGGTTCTCAGATTTTACTAAGAGATTCTGTAATTTCGTGTTGAAGTATATTTAGTTGTCCTCGATTGTGTTCTTGTTCACTACACTGTTATTTTACAAAAGCGGTTTTGAGTTTAAAAATACGGCATTTACTTAAATGGATTATTTGATCATAATTAAAAATATGCTATTCCATGAAATAGCTGTGGTATATATTTAAATCTTAAATGTCAATTAAAATCGATGTTTTACTTTAGCGCAATTTTAATTGCAACCCAGGACAGAGTTCGATGGAGAATCTTGGTTAGGTGCTTATGCTCCTCCACGAGGGGTAACAGGTGTAAGTAATTTTAGTGCTAACAGAGAATTGATTATATTTGAAAATCCTTTTCTTTTCTACTGGTTTTCACATAAAAACCGATCGTTCGATTCTAAATCTATATATTTCTTTTATTTAAATAGAAATCTGGGCAGCACTGGACTTCGGGTATCTGTACTTAGTTTAGGTAAGTGTATGTTTATTTTGATATAATTTAATTCTAATAGGTTAGTATAATATTAGTAAAGTGTTTTAGTAATTAAGAGGTCATAAGCCTCCGTAGTTCGTAACTCTTTTTATCCAATATTCAATAAATTTCTATTTCCACACCTAACTTGTTTATTTAATAAATTGAGCAAATACATGAAAGATTAGATACTAGAATAATTTAGATAAATAATCCTTTTCATCATGGAGGTTTGTGGATATTGTTAATTGTTATTGAGATCGAAAGTCGGCCTTCATTAGACAATCGTTGAATCTAGATATTACTGGATAGCTGTTTCACGGAACAAGGAGTTATAAATGCTCACAACTGGATAGCCCCATATCAGAACGAACTTTCCAGGGCTTCTTGGTTTCAACGGCTATCTAAATTTCGTCATTTTGTGATCTCAGTGAACTAGACAATAATTTTAAAAAGCAGATAATAATAGTTTAATTGTCAGATTAAAGGCAGATAGTTTATAATATTAATAATGATCAAATTTTAGTAAATGAAGTGATTCAATGTATAACTCCAATGTCAGGAAAGAAAGTATACGAACAGTAGGTTATTATTTAATTAGAATATAAATCTCATCAGTACGTGATCATCACTGTTCACAGGGTTATCTTCATAAATTATAGAAAACATAATACCATAGTTAGAATTAAATGATCCATGTATATTATGTCGGTTAATTTTTCACGAAATGAAGTTTTCATTTCAATTTCACTTGTTACCAAACTGTTTCATTTCGGACTTGTTGACTTCATAGATGTTAAGATCACTCTTGGTAAGTATTTGATTAGTATGTCTTAATTAATATATACCAGTTAAATTTTATATGAATGTAGATACAATATACAGGATAATTTTAATGCAGAATGTGATAGATGTTAGAATAACTTGTTAATTTGAGGTGACATAAGAATAATATAAACATTAATATAAAGTCTAGTGTACTAATCTATTGTAACAAAATCAAGATACTAAGCAAAATCAGATTATAAACAACTTTACCTGTTTGATCATATTGACTCAGTAACCTTGATAATAGTTGGACTTATACATGTTTTACACGAACCATATATCTGACATCAATACATTGAATATATTTATCTATGTACATTTATATACTTTCTTTTTTCTATTACTGATCTCGTAGACTTACAGAGAATCAAAATTCAGTTAATTGAAAACTGTAGAATTAATTCACTTATAGATGTACGGGTCGTTTTTCTCAGCCCATATTCATGATTTTAAAAGTTTTTTCTTCTGCACTGTTTGTTTTTGGAATCGTAAAAGTATCATTGAAGTGTGTCTTTTAAGCTTGTTTGGATTTTATAATTAAGTCCATTCTTGTCTTAAGCCACTGCATCAGTTTTGCGGCTTTCAAAGGAGTTATTATTTTATTTATACCGATTTCAAAAGCAAACTGAATGTTGGTTGAACGATGTAAATTTATGAACTTCACTGCTTTCAAGATGATTATTTTATTATTATCATCGTTATTAATATTATTATTGGTGGCTTTATTTAGAGTTATATTTTTGGTACATTATAGAATTCAACAAGTTTCTTCTTTTTACTTGTTGACCGACCCTTGCGAAAAATATTGAGTGGTCGCTAGTCAGATGTTATCAGTTCAGGAATCGACATCTAAAAAATGTATATTGTTTTCAATTCATATTGCCAACAACCACGATGTCTTTGATTGAACTCTTTTGTAGCTTGGACAGTGAAATGTCATAAACATTTCACAAACGCACCTGTATAGGTTATGCGACTAATATGCTTAATGATATGTTAAAACAAACAAGAAAAAAGATAACTTGTTGAAATATCCAGATGACAGGGACAGATATCTCAGATATTCGGACAGACTGCCTTGTTTACTATTCTGTGATCAATTTTTCTTAAGCAATATCTACTTGGATTCTGATTAAAGTAAGGTTTATTTGTAAAATGAAATCGATTTCTCATTTATTATTTTTAATTTATTGAATTCAAATGAAATTTATCCATTTCTATTTATAAATTACTAAGGATTTATTTTCCAGACTTGATTGAATTCACTTTCTTGATATTCATGATTTATTTCTTGGACTAGATTATACTTCATCTAACTTTCACTATAGTCAGCATAAGTTGTTGTTGTGCTATTGTTGTTTTCCTTTTATTTATGAAAATCATATTCGTGCATTAATATACCCTATATTTACATTTGTAAACAGAAGAATTTTAATGAATTCCTTTTTGTATTTATAGTGGAACAGAAATGTTTACAGATAAATAAAGTTATACTTTAGTCTTCGATTATCAAATTCTATAAAAGACATAATACGTGTAATGAAAATAATAAGTTATTTTGTATACAGACTAATTAGTATCAATTTTAGTAGGTTAGATAAAATTGAAGTTTAATAAATATGTATGTAAACAATTAGCAAAGATCAGAAGGGGTTTTGCGGAAATTTTTAGAAATTTCAATAGTTGAAATCATGAGTTGACAAAACCCCTTCTGATAATAATCATCTACTCACTTGTGACTGACTTCAAGAGGCATTTCCTGAAGTTCCAGTGAGAAGCAGTGACCAGTGGAGTTCAACCGGGTCTGTTGTGAGATAATAACTCACTAAAGACAATGGTAGGCGTGTGGGTCAATTTCGCGAATTGGTTGAAGTTAGATAATAACACCGCCAGCTCAGTGGCCTAGTGATTAGGCGCTCGCTCGCGAGACTGATAGGTCCTGGGTTCGAATGTCGCGAGACTTAATCGTGGATGCACACTACAAAGAGTCCCATACTATGACGAAACGGCCGTTTTTCACGGTGGTCTAGCTTCAAATGACTCATGATTTCAATTATTAAAATTAACAAAGAGTTAAGGCCATATAAACTGCTTGCTTTGCGTTGTTACTAATAACCACGAGTATTATTTAATCATCTTAATAATTAATTTCTTGCGTATAAGTCAAAAATACTACTTTTTAACTCAGTATTGAATAATATATCACCATTTTTTTTACAGTATTATCATGAATCAGGCAAACGTGGAAGTGTAATTAGTAGAGTGCTTGTTTATTTATAGGAAATAGAAAATATATATACATCTTATGATTTCTTAAATAACAGTTTTTGATTACCTGAATCCCTAAAATTTATCAAGAATGAGATTTTTTCAACGTTAGTAATGTTCTCATTATGTTTGTCTCAATTCAATAACTAAGGTTTTGGGTAAGATATTTCATTGTGAAAAGTCATAAAACTCATGATTTGTTATATTTTTATTTCGTCTGGGATTTGTTAGAGTGAATATGAATTTCACTGAGTAATAATGTCTTTCATTTAAGTTTCAAACCAGTGAGGTATCAACCAAATCTCCTGAGGTTTATTCATTACTAATTGGATAAGACATAAGAATCAAACAATAAATTATGTAATCGAAAAGGATCATGACAGAAATAGATGACGTACATGCTAAAATACTTTAACTATTTCAATCCTAGAAATATCGATACCAAAAGTTGAAGTATCATCATTAATTCACTTAAACTTCTTAACTTATATAATTTTTAACCAGAGTGTGATAAAACATAAAACGAATAAAAGTCCGGATGTATTTAACAGCACCTTTCCTTAGGGTTGATATTCTACGTTATAAAGTCGTAATCTATGAGCTTACTTTTTCACCATGTTATTTCCGGTGAAACCATTTTATTCTTTTTAAATAATGTGTAATTTTCGTGAAAAAGAATTTATTGTCCTATAATCATTGTTACTAGTTTATAGACAACTTACAAAATAATTAGTTTTATTAGGCAAATTCAATTTTTAGGCTTAATTAGGGTGTAATCAAAAACGGATTTCATATAACCACATAGATTAAACGAGAACAATTCACATGATTTGAACAAAAGTAATTTAATATTCTTCTCCTAGTTTACATGTGTAAACAAATGAGTAAATAAATCTGGTTAAAATACATATTATTACTAATAATTCACATGTCATTAAATTGCATTGTGTCATATTTCAATCCGATAATTTTATTAGTCCGTTTTCAGTATAAAATTAAACAAACTATTCTAATAGCAATTGATTTATGAGCTGTCTTAACTCTATAATGATTCTAGAGTTATTAGATCATGTTTCTCGGTTGTTATATTAGTTACTATATATGAAGTTGTAAAAGGTTTTATTTTAGCACCTATGGTTTTTCAATTAGAGGCTAGTGAAAAAAATGGTTACAAGTAGCAGAAAAATGTCGATTATCTGGTGTAATATCTTATGTTATATCATATGCATTTTTTACATGAGATCAAACCAGAGGAGTGGTATTACAACCTGAAATCCTCTTTTCAATTACGTTTGACTGAAAATCTAGTATTGTTTATATATGATTACAAAAATATTAGTTAAGAATTTGTGTTTGTTTATAATGTAAATGTTATGTCTTGTCGATTGAACGCAACTTGTAATATCTGGTTGTCGCTGATTGTTATTTCGGAATCGCTTATCACTTATACTCGAAAACAAGGAACTACTGCAATTCTCACGGTGCAAATGTAAGAACACAAAAACTGGTATAAGTGATGATTTATTAACCCCAAATATGCGACGATCCTAGTTGAAAATACAGCGATTTATATGTTGGTTTGTAACCCCATTTTGATTGATAATTAGGATGAAATTACGCATTTGCAGTTATAACAAATCATATGTTGAGCATGGACTATGTCGATTGAATACAAGAACATCGTGTTATACAGAAATAAAATGTCATACGGAAAAACAGGAACAAATACTAATACCATCATAATGAATTAAAACGATATTAATGTTGAGTAAAAATCATATTGAGTAAATCAATCTAATTTTGACTGTTTTTCCTGTCATATCAGTAAAGCAGTTTATTTCTTCAACCTTCAAGAAAAAAGTTACCTGAAAATGGATTTACTAAAAAATCTTTCACCGTATAGTGCAAGTTGCAACGGGTAAATCAGTCATCATAGAATAAGACAATCATTTGACTAAGTGTAAATCAAACCCCCTTCACTAAAACATGACGAATTGGTTTTAGGAAATGTAAATGTCCTGACATTTGGATTCTGATCAAATGATTTAAAAGAACTAATTAAAAATCATATGAAAATTGTATGATTAGTTTAAAAGTTGTCATAGCCCAGCTATACTTTGTCTGAAAAACTAATATGATAACATAATGTCTATCAATGGGATTATTATCGGTTTGGAAACATATTAAAATTTTATACCAACATAGGATCTTAATAACCCTTCGTATAAATACTGAATGCCTTTAGTTTGACCACTGTTAAGGATACCATACTAATACGAACCATCTATCCATTGCTTCCTGGCTTCCAGTAGATGCGAAACCGAAGTTCATGAGGCAATTTTAACCAACTTTTATTTGACAGTGAAAGCGATCGGTAATAATCAGTAACAATGAAGTTTTACTAGAAATCAAATAACTGATAATAATTAGAATGAAAATTCAAGTGACTTATATTGTCAAGCTTATTAATAATCAATACACAGTCTTGTATCATTTCATTGACCATATCTTTCACTATTGTGAACGCTGTATTTTGATAATTATTTATTCAGCAGCATTGAAGCTCTGTCATAAAATTCATCTTTAAAAAATCTTCAGAAAGCTTTCAAGTTTAAACCTGTACTCTACAGTGATGTTAACAAGGTTAATTATCAAGTTACTGAAGAAGCTTTTTAAGTGTGAAATCCTCAGAAAGTTAGAAATTAAACATCAGTTTTAAGGTTTATTTTACTAAAATTCAGAATTTAAAGTCGGATTTATAACTTACAAAGTTTCTACTTATTTACTCGAATCTACCTGAAGTGAATACTTTAAAAGGTAAAAGGTTGCTTTGTATTTCAAATCAAACTGATGTTATTTTCTTGCCAAAAAATCAATCGCTCCCATTAATATTTAAGTATCCCTGTATCACTATTGTCTGAGCTTTAAAAACAGTCAGTATGTTAAGAATGAATGATGAATATTGTAATTAACTAGCTGTCACATATAATCATGCATATTCTGTATGTTTGAGTAGAAAACAGTTTATCGGTTTGATTAAATTGTTTACTATGACAGTAGATTATTATATGAATGTAGTTTAGAATCAAGTCTTAATTTTAAAAGAAAACATTGAGAAAAATTTGATTTAGTTTTCTTCTCACGGTTATAAAACTATGTCAAAATAAACATACATGCTCTATTGCCAAACACATAATCGAAACAGGCCATAAAATTGATCTTAACACAGCTTTTGTGGTGTTGTACAAAATTGTAAAATGGTTTATTGAAGCCTTAGCCATACGAAAATTTAGAACCAGTGTGTTCTCACCTTACACCTACCCTGGTAACATTAGCTTATTATCCAGAGTGATTAGACTTCAAATTGTATTCACATCATTTCTTTATAATCCCTGTCTTCTCTTACCCTCCATTTTTAGTCTAGATGACCTTTTATTCTTATATATAAATGTTCTTAACAAGTATATGTGTGATCAGATGGTTCGAAGTGTATTACACAAATATATGACATAGTCCTGATAATCTTTGTCTTTTTATTACACTATCGAAACTTATCAAAACGACCAATTGCTTTTAGTGTCAATATATTTTAGATTCACTTGTATCCTCCCATTGTTATTTAGGACTGCAATTGATCAGTATCTTGTCAGAATATGTGTATTCCATGCGGATTGCCCCGATATAGCCTTAAGTCACGAGCTTTATAAGCAAAGATGGATTGTAGATAGTCGTGGAATCCAGGACGTACGTCCCGTTCTATTTTGGACAATGAGAAGATACAAGTAAACCAACACCAAAGGAATGTAAACTTCACTCCATTGCTTAAGCAGGTGGCTATCAGGACTCAGTAGCTAAGTGGATAACGCCATGGCGTTTGAAGCGAACGGTACTGGGTCCGATTCTGAAGTGAACACCAACTGTGGGATGCAGGTACATCCAGTTGACGAGTCCCAAATAGGACGAGATGTGTGTCCTAGATTCCACTGCTAGCCATTAACCATGTTTAGTCAAAATATTTTGTCTATCATTCAATTAGTAATTCAAATAATTGCCTTTCATTTCTAATTGTTTTGTTTATATATAGAAAAACAAAACAGTCATTAGTTTACATCAATATTTTTTCTTCCTATTCACATAATTATGTATTTTTGTTTCTCCTACATATTTATCCACTTAATTTTATTGTATTTTAATTCCAGGTACAGATGTGACTTTCGGTAATCAAATACCGGATGAAGTAGGTGTATTAGACAGTTTGTTTAATAAGTTTATTTTGATGATGATCTCTTAGGAATAGAGTTACGTTTTGTTTATTGATTAATTTCTAACAACTTAGGTATAGTTGTAGTTTTTCTTTTTGTGGGATTATTTTTTGGAAAACAATTGCCGGTTGTTTAAGTCACTGTAAGATATCGTTCGTGAATTCAAAAACTTATTATTATGCAATTATGTTTGCTAGTTATCGGAAATGAAAATCACTCACAACTACTCTTTCAATTTTTGTTGTGTATGATTTTGTAATTATAAGATATTGATAAAAGATGGTGTAGGGGGTTATTGCCAAAGAAAAAAATTATTTTGGTATATTGATCAGAAAACTCGTTTCTATTTTGTTTATCAGAGTATAAGACTATTAGCTGAAGTTAAGTTTGAAGAAACTGATTAAATTTATATTTCTTTACATTAATTTGTCTACTGATATATTAAACAGGCAAGTGAATGATAAAAAATTTCTTCAGTTAAAATATTTAGTTTGATATGTATCCTAATAATTTTCAACAAATTTATACCAAGCAACCATGCGTAATTTCCATCAACTCGCTTGAGTTTAGTGTTGCATAACTTCTTTTAAATCATATGGTGGCAGTCTAGATTACTTTAGAGAATTAACTAGAACACTTATTACGAGCTTATAATTACTTTTTAAATGATACGACAAGATTGTGATAATAAGACCCTGCACAGATTTTCTAACCGTAATAAATCATGTTTTGTCGCACTGATTAGTTACTATTTTGTCAGATTATGTTAACACATTTAATCTTAAAAGTTGACTCTTAATTAACAAGATAAGTTGGATATAGGAATGATACTTTAGAAATTTATAATTATTCCAAGATTATCTATATACATAGAAGAGGAATTGTGCTGAATCAAGAAGACAAATAAGACGTTAGATTCTAAAATAGCAGCAAAATCAATATTTTATGATTTCGGTCAACTTAGATGTCAAATTCTCAGAATCCTTGAAATATATGATCAATTTATGTCTAATAATTCAAGTACTCTAGAAAGTGATTCGTAAGAATCCACGAAATTAACTTCAAGAAATATTTCTGTTTACTTTACAATATGAATTGCTGTTAAGCTGCTTTGAACTATCATTCATGTATTTGACCTTATTAAGTCAAATAAGCTGGAAAGCATATATTGGTCTGACAGAGTATTTCAAATTGTCTCTAGAATTGACGAAAAAGTAGAGTCTACAGTAAATTGACTAGTTTGATGATTAAGATAACTCTATAGATAAACTAAGTATACCGTTAGATTTTACTCAACTTTAATGTGAAAAATTAACATGTATGTCCTAGTGTACGAAACAACCAATCAAAAGTATAATGAGCCGAGAATTTGGCAAAACCATTGAATTTTCACAATTATTTCTGATGAAAGAAAAGAATATATTCAAGAATTTATTGTAACATTGACTATTTAATTGATTATAGTTTAATGTTAATAGAATTGCATGTAATAGTACACAAGAAGGAACTCGAATTTCAGTTTTTATAACAATTAAAATAAGTGTTTTAAACTTTTTTTCTTCAAATTTCAGATAGCTGAGAAGATAGTTACAGTAGCTTACACTAATGGAATTAATGTTTTTGAGACTGGAGAAGCCTATTCAAATGGAGAGTAAGTTCATTTAAATGTTGAAATTGAGATTAGATGTAATGAGCATGATCGTGGAAACAAAATGAACCAGTTGGGGGTAGAAAATTTAAGGGAAAGATGGAGGGTAAAGCAGATGACTGTAAAGGAAGAAGAGTATAAAGAAAGAGAAAAATAAAAAATAAAAAAATAAAAAAAATAAAAAATGAAAAATAAAAATTATAAGATATCAGGACCATGGTAGAAGAAGAGGTTGTACCATGATCCTGATATCTTATAATTTTTATTTTTCATTTTTTATTTTTTTTATTTTTTTATTTTTTATTTTTCTCTTTCTTTATACTCTTCTTCCTTTACAGTCATCTGCTTTACCCTCCATCTTTCCCTTAAATTTTCTACCCCCAACTGGTTCATTTTGTTTCCACGATCATCCTCAGTAAGCTAATTGACTGAAGATGCATAGTCGTTCTTAGTCATAAAAATATGTTTTTTTTTGTTTTTATGAACATTGCGCTTCATGACCATATTTTACTAATAGTTATTCGTTTTTGTTGCCTAAAAATGTTCATCATAAAATTTAATATTTTTGTTGGAAATTTTTTTCAACTGACATAAATGAGACTATGGTAATTTGAAATATGAATGTTCTGTTAAAAGGGTTAATAAGTATAGTTGAAACAAAACGTGTTTTGGCACAATAATAAGGTCATACATGTAGTTGACTGATACGAGAATAAAGTATATTTGACATCTAGATCATGTATTATAGTACTAGTAAACTTCTGCGTTAGTTACCATACATGGTGCTACTATAAGTGATGTTTTCTACATCAGCCATTCATTCTGGAGAAAATACATGCCGTCGATCAAAATCGAAGCAAAATAAAAGTAAATATTAAGTCTGGTCATGATAAAAAGTAAGTAAACTTTTATTTATAGTCAACCAAACGATGAGTATAAAGTATAGTGACTAAGTTTGTTACCTGTAGTCACTGAACAACTCTAAAGTATTACCGTGTTCATCATCATACAAATGGAAAAAAATTCATTGTACCTGAAAATATTGAAAGTAATTAGAAATTCCCTAAGGTATATGGGGAGAAATAGTTATGGTGTTTCCACATGTTCTGGGAATATTACGGTACAATGTTGATGTCATGTTTGTGTCCATACACGTGACAGATACTGGTTCAAGGCTACGCAAACAGCCTGCTTTTCATAGATATATGACAATTGGGAAGTGGAACTTTGGACAACCTTTTGTAAATGAGCCCGACAGTCACGTAGCCAGAATTAATACACAATATATAACCATTTACATCATTTTAATTGGTTAGTAATATGTCCAAAGCTGATGAGTTCAAATAAAAAGATAACTGAAAATTTCATTACCGTCAATAGTTATGAAAGTAATCAATACACTGGAATACTTGTATTACAAGTAAATGTAACCCACAAAGCATCACGTGACAAAGTGCTGAAATTAAAAGTACATAGTTCAAATACTAATATATAGTAAAATAAAACTGTTCTACTCACTCATCACAACCAGATCATCTGCGAAGTCTAGGTCGTTCAGATGCATCCTAACTGTCCATTGTATCACATGCTTCCCTCCAGATTTTGATGTCTTGAAAATCCAGTTGACCACCAGGAGAAAGAGAAAGGGTGAGGGTAAGAAACTTTGCTTGACACCAGACTTTACTTCTAACGCGTCTTTTAGTTGTTTTCCATGCACCATAAAAATTTATCAAAGAAAACTGAAGTAACATATAAATTTGAATAATTTAGGTTATATCCTTGTGTAGAATAATAGGTGTAGCTTATTATTTGATAGTGAAGTACAATAACATAAATGTCTAATGATTGATGGTTTTTAATGATATTATAACCAAGATTAGTTTGTAATGACATTCGACTTTAAGATTTTCACCAATCCTCACAGAACCAACTCATTCAAAAACTGTGAAATTTATGAGGTAATAATTTCTCTAATTATGGAAAATACCTATTGAAGATTATTTTGTTTTAATTTGATTTTAGGGCCGAAAGAACATTGGGTAGAATATTGAGTACTAAAAATTGGCGGTAAGTTTGCAAATCAGTAAATGAAAGATGAAAATGAACAGCAGCGTTTTACATTGATTTTATTTGTATTCGATAGTAACTATTAATAACATTTATCCATGAAACTATTCGTTTGAGTTGATAGAATTTATAATCATTGTCTTTACTTCATTCAACTATAAACATGAAGCATCAGAACACTTGATTAATAAAAGATGCAAAAGCTGAACTTTTTTGAAAACATAACATTGTTCAACTAAGTATCATGTCTTATTATAGCCATTCAATTACATTAATAATGGATATATTGTAGTGAACAGAGACTTGGTGGTGATAACCAATTTATGATTTAGTGCAAAATTACAGATTGTCTTCGTAAATTATGAAAACCATACATTAAATACTTCATTTGTACATCTTCCATCAGTTGTCCATTACATGATTATTCTAATTCTCAATTCCTTTATATTTTCTTCAGTTCAATATTCTTAACCTTCTTTTATCAGGCATTCCATTCATGATCAGTGTTACGTGGTACAGTACGACTGTAGGAAGTGATAATAAAGGTTTCGAAAACAATTGTTCGTTCCAATATCCTATGTTTTTAAATATTTTTCGGGGATTTTTAATTAGTTAATCATTATTTAATTAAAATGCTTTTTTCTAATGTTTCTTTTAATGTAATTTAAATAGTAGAGTAAAAACATTGACTAATTAAATGTTAACCAAATAGTTTCAGACAAATGTTATTTGTGTGTTTTAAAAATGTAAGTATTACAATTTACGTAACCTGAGATAAAAAAGTAGCAAATAAAGTCAACCATTTGATTATTGATATATTTTCAAGGTAGTTCATCAATGGAACAAAATTAAAGCTGTCATAATGTAACCTCCTTCTGCAAGTGAAGTGATAAATTAGGAAGTTAGTTTAATGTATTTCAAAACTTGAAATTACATAAAACCACATGTCTAGTCTTTTAAAGTAAATTGTAAATTTAATGGTTGAGATCATTAGTCAGTTGAAGCTAGACCACCATGGAAAACCTTGACGCACTGGACGGCCGTTTCGTTCTATTGTAGGACTACTCAGACTGATAAGTCCTGGTTTTGAATCTCGCGATGTGGGATCGTAGATACGCACTGCTGAGGAGTCCCACAGTAGGACGAAACGGCCTTCCAGTGCTTCCAAGTTTTCCATGGTGGTCTAGCTTAAATTGACTCATGATCTCAACCATCGAAATTACTACAATATCCACAAAAGCCCTTCTGATATTGATTGTAAATATTTAATAAAGATTTTCAGCATCAGACTTTCACTGTCTGTATAAAGAATTCGTGACAAGAATGCTTTAATATACATTATAATATATACATTAAAAATCAACAAAATGTCTGTGGAATGAAAAAAACGCAATTACATTAAGGTAACGTTTATTTCGGTAATACGTAACTACGTTTTCACGAGAAACTTTTTTCAAGTTAAGTGGAAAATGTTTTTTTCGACGACCAATTTCGATAGAACAATGAGAAGACGGAGTTGTTGTTCTATCCAAATTTATAAAAGGGACTAAATGCTTTAAACGACCAATTTAACAAACTTTTGAAGTCTGTTTATTTTTAGATTTCACGTTTAGATGAAATAAGTATCAAATGTTTAAGACAAATTATTCGGTTATAAAACTACTGGGGATAAACTCTAGGCTTTCAAGTCATCTAGGTGTATCGTAATAAATACTTATGGTTGTGTTTTCGTTTATCCAGTCACTCGATTATAGAAATTTCGAAATAATTTCATTATAGACTTTATTGGAGGTATGTCTTTTGTTATGTTATATGTTCCGCTCCATCATGACAGATTGCCATACACTTAACACGTCCGTAGCATGGTGAAATGGTATTTTAGTCATAAAAACCTTTACGCTATCCATATGAGCTGGCGAAAACAACAGATAACGAAACACACCCTCGATCATAGATTACGATAATGTAAATAAATTTCTGCTTCATTTTGGTTGGTAGTCAGGTGCAAGGTCAAAATTTGGAATAAGAGTGGAGTGTATTCTCACCCCCAAAAGCCCTCTTCTGCAAATTTCAACATCTCAAAAGTGTGTATTTGTTGAATAGATTAAAAGGTATCCCTTACTACTCATTACAAAATGATATACATCCTTGTAAGTAGTCTCGGATATCATTAGAAAAATCTGAACATTTTATGGCTTTATGGAGTACTTGGATTTATAGTTGTTGTTTCACAACACTTATTATTTTAAGAGATAAACGTTTAATTCAATAAAACAATCATGTTTTAACACAAATACAGTCGAAACGTAAACGTGCTAGAAATTACATCTTGTTTTCAGGTGATTGTAATTGAAATTTTTTACAGTTGCGTAATAGATCTGTTAACTGTTTTCTTCTAGGTCAGTCCTCTGTGATACTGGTTAAATAACATTGCATCTGTTTCAATGAAGCTTTTTATATATGTTCTAATATGTCAACTATTCAAGTTAATCATAAGATGTGTTAATCTACATTTATTTAGGGTTTTAATCCTATTGTAATGTAAAATGTTGCAAAATCGAAGCACACTAGTTGGTGTATTTTTATCCATGCCCATATTTAAGAAAAAAATGGGATGTAGTACGATTGTTTCACAAAACCTTACGACGAATGAAAAAGTCTGTCAGAGCAGAAATAATCGAAAACACTTTTTGTTGAGGAAACTTGTGTAATAGTTACTTTTATGCAAACTAATCTGCTCACGCTTTGTAAATATTTACAATTTATTTGTTTACCGAAAAGGTATTTATTCCTTTATACTTCATATTGTTTGCCAGAACATCTTTAGCGAATGAAAAATAACAAGTAAAAATATATGACTTACATTCTTAATCTAAAGTTTTCACTATCATGAATACTGATATAAGATTTGTAATAGTTAAAGAAAAAGAGGACTAGAAGTGTGAAACTGCTTAATTCATTTGTGTTGATTACTTGAACCTTCCTAATAATGTTCCAGGTCTGTAATTAATTAGTCACTTTCAGCGAATTTGTGGATTGGAGTCGCGGAATGAACATCAACCCCATGATGCAAGTAAATCCAGTTCATGCGTTCCAGTTGGAATGAAACGCACGTTCTAGGTAACACTATCAATTTCTAGTCGAACTTATTGTCTGTTATTTAAAAATCCACTATCGTTGTTGCTGAAAAACTTCAAATTTCAATCTTGGATAGGTGATTTTCTGATTGGTACACGAGTAGGAAAGATAAAATACGTAACGTTTCAATATAACTATAGTATACAGAAACATAACAACATGAAATTTAATCGAGAACAAAGATTATTAGTAAAGTACAACACAAAATAGAACAGTTAAACTACTAGTTATGCTCAGAATTTTTAGTTACGTCAAACTTATACTATAACGATAATTTACTTGTCATTTGTAGTAAAAAATTAAATGTTAACAAAGGCTTACTATTCTTACAAAATAAATTGACCTAAATAAAAGTGAATCTACTTTATTTGTTATACTGCCGTCTTTAGAAGATATTGTTCTATATTAACAAAAGGTTTGTCATCACTAAATGGATATTTGGTAAAAGCAAATGTAACATATAGAAAGAAATGAAACTATGTATCTATTTGCTTAATTATAAGCTAATGTTGTTCCTACTTAACTTTTTAGAATAATTTTTTATACATAACAACACATGATAAATCTCATATAGCATGTCAACTAACTTGCAGACTGGATTTTATTCATTCGATCGATTTTTCGTCGATTCAAATATTTTTTTATGACAAAATTGTTTCTAGTCATGATAGACATTTAAATTCTTCTCTTGGTAATTATATTTATTAGTTAAAATTCCCTTGGATGTTATATTTACCAATAAGCAAACTTATATGAAATCATCAGTAAATTGCTTGTATCAAGACATTTATTGTTATGAACTATAAAACATTACCAAAAGGGAATCAAACAAATGCTTCAATTTATAACAGATCATTTTAATTCTTTAGTTTACTGTTCATAGTTGTACAGATAAAATAATAATCAGACTTTCCTAATAACTATGGACAACTATTCTCTGAAAGATTTTGAAAACAATGTTTCGTTTCCAGATAGCCATAGGGTTGTGTGGTAGAGATGAATTTTACTTGATTCGAAAAGATTTGAATTATCATGGGACAATATACAGCTTACAGCAAAATCCTCGTCGCCAATTTGTTGTGATTTTAAGGGCCGCTTATTACAAAGTAATTTATTCATCAATCGAAATGGGACTTATACAATCTTAGTACTCTGCCAAACCAATGACGTTCGACCTGTATGAGTAACCTAACGTCATTATTGGTCTTTTTTTCACACGGGATCGAACCCGTCAGGGAGCACTAGTTCCCTCAAGATTACGGGTACATCTTGCGGACAAGTGCCAAGTAGCAGGAAACCTAGGTCAAGGGATTCCTAATGACTACCTCCAACCACCATCTTATGGTCCTTTGTTCCCCTAGTACGGTCCAGTTGAGTTCAGAAGGCCACTACGTTAATCATTTAATTCAAACATACTTGGTTTATAAACCAGCCAAACTGATCGCATCACACCATAAAATAGGAGATAACATTTATACAAGATCAAGCCAAAAAGTGGCTGTAAACGTGGGAGACGGTAATTAATAAACTGAACAAAACTTAAGAATAGAAATTTTTATGAGATAATACTTCGCCATTTTTAAAAATGAAGTTATAGAGTTTCGTAGGGATACTACCCCTAACAAAGGTTCTGAAAATTCGGTAAAATAAAAATTTCAAAAATGCCATAAAAATGTTCTTGGTGGCCTTGTAATTGTATTTCGAAACAAAACAATAGGCTATAAGCGTTCTTTAAGCCCTACCGCTTCAGGCTGGATTACTTCGTTTGTTACCCTGTATATGTGTCGTATGTAGTATAAGCTATAATCTAGGCTATATTGCTATGTAGAGCTGAACGTCTCATATGAGACTGGAGGTTTTCTATTGATATTGTGGATGGTTCGGTCTTGATTTGGCAAGTTTCGCTAACTGTTCATGCGCAAAATTGGTTTGCTGGTTGATCGATCTCATTCATACTAGTGGTTGCTTTTCAGTGTTCTCAAGGACCATAGTCATTGGGACATTGTAATGCATATCGTCATTGCTAACATTAATGAGTTCGACTGTCATGTAAGCGGAATAGATCAACTCTGACCTGTTTATGCTGTGTATAACTGATTAACGCGATCAATGATCGAAATAATTATACATATGATGTGAATTTGTACATGAATGGTGCGAATGGTCCATCAGGGTGCTGGGTACCTTTGTTGTTACGTCACACAATTGATCTGTACTATTCAGATTGTAGCGTTAAAGCCTATATAGCGTCTAGTTCTCCTATGAAGCGGGTTTAAGCTGTACTGCTTAGGCGGTGTCTGGCTCTCATGTTAAACGCGATTGAGATATACTGTTTAGGTTGTCACATGAAAGTCTGGATGATGTCCTGTTCTCCTGAAAACCAATGTAAAATTACTTTGGTCCACAGGGATATATTATATAAATGTCAACTAACTGTGTAAATAAAGTCTCATAGCTATTTATTTACTGATTTTATAAGTTATCATCAACTTATTTAAGATACTTGTTTATTTCAAAATTGATATTTAGAGTAGTAAATTAACATCTAATAAATTTAATTGTTATTATAAGAAAAACTGATCCAGATTTCAATTCTAATTACACAGATGACATTTTGTAAATAGATCTACAATACATTTTGTATTACTATTATTACTGTCTATACTTTAAATTTTGATAAAACATCTGATATTAAGAAACCTTTAGGTTATTTTTTTATGCATCTTGTCTATTTTAGATAATTTTTTTGTATTTATACAGAAAAATCAATAGTTCTTCACCTATCATGTTTTCATTTTACAAATAAGATTCTTGTTTTTCACTTTGTTATGATTAGTGTATTCTTACAGATTTTTCTAAGCGGATGACGTAATATGGTATTTTTTATTAAAAATATTGACTTGATTCTAACATATTATATTTTTTCCCCTTTATCAGAAGATCCAGTTATATCGTATGCTGTAGATTGTCAAAAAGTGGAGAGTAAGTACAATGTTTAGTATTAAAAATCATTTGATTATAATTAATGTTGTATGTAAAATTTGGAATTATAGGAATTAAGAAGTAACAACTTTTTTTTTATTTATTTTATAGATAGATAACAACGTGACTGTGTAGTAATCATCTTTGACACTTTGACATGGTTAAATATACACTTATGATTTAACAAACATTTCATAACATCTAACAAATGTAATTAGAAAATTACAACTATCCATACAAATGATATACTATTATCGTGTGTTACAATGCACCGACTGATTAATGACAAGAAAGAATACAGAATACATCTTTCATATTTGTCATTAATCCTAATGATTTTGATAAAACATATAAGATGTTTCAGAAAAGCATGAACTGAACCTAAGTTATAAGTTGTCATACAGTGTGTATAGCACTTCAATGCGCTTCACGAAATTAAAGCTTTTAAAAGCTGATTATTTAGCTATCTGACTAAAGAGAAAATATAGATTCTGAATAACCCTTAATAGAATTCACTAAAAGTATTCTTTGACAGTCATGAGCTAAAATGGTTGTTTAAGTTATTGTTAAAAAAATGTTTCTTGTGCCAATATTTAAGTGTCCATATATTGATTCCGATTTTAAGAATATTTTGTCATTGTTTTTGTACAACTTTGATCAATTAGTGACAAGAAAGAATAATCTTATATTGAGGTAATAGTTTCATCGAAACTAAGTAAGCTAAATCACTTAGTAAATATAGAAGACTTTGTAGTGATCTTGAAACACATATATAACAGAATTACGTAAGGTTTGGTTAAAATGACGTAGAACTGGATAAAATTCATTTTAAATCCATCGGAAATAAACGTCATTATCTTATCATTTCTTTAGTAAAAATAAACGCTTTTGACCATACTATGAACAGCTCTACAAATATTTTCATTAATTCATATAAAATTGTTGGACGCATCTACATTTTTAATAAATATCAAAAGAATAGTGTGATGTGCGTTACTGTTGTCAACAGATATAATTAACATGTATCATCAATCGAAAGTGAAATTTCTTGAGGCAGAAGACTATGGCGATTAAAGGAAAGAGAACGAGAATGAAGGGTGTGGAAACAAAAAAACTATAAGGTCTGAGACGATTGATTTATATTTTACACAAGGGACATTCCAGTTTGAGACAATTGATTGACATTCTGCAAATTAAGTATTTACTGTATGATTCTCAAATTTTACTAACATATTCTTTAATTTTGTATTCAAATACATTAAATTGTCCTCACTTGCGTTCTCATTCACTACAATAGTATTTTTTCATGGTGTAATTTATTAAAATCAGCAACTTATAGCAAATTCTTTCACCATTCAATGAAAGTTCATCAATATTCTGTGGAATGAAATAGATATGTACATGACCTAAATTATTTGATGTATCTCATTTGATTTATTATCTAACATCAAGAAAGTGAAAGACACAATCTATGAACACAATTCATTATAGTGTAGCTTAGTTAACAAAAGTCATTAGACATTAGAACATAAACATGATGTAACACTGGTAACTATTAATCAATTCTTTATTAAAAGTTTGAATATTTCAATACATTCGAGTTTCCATTATTGCCTGCTACAAACGAACTTGTCAGAATTTCAAGGAAAACATAAATGTCATTGCTCATTGATTGCGGATTAGATAGGCTTGATTATTCAGCTATGTTGAATAAATTGTTTTTTAACATTCACGAAATACTGTTTTATAATTTCTTTTATTATTTATTACTGATGTTTAGTGATTTAAGTAGTGTAAATTTCCATTTGTAAAGTTTATTTTCTCATATCTGAACATTCATATTTAAGAGATAGCAGTTATCTTTTCAAGCGACATCTTATTTTATTGCTAAAAACGTTTTATTCTGGCTAAAGTAGAAGACATTTTAATCCAAATTATAATTGCATTAATATATTTGCAATATCGCAATGAGTAGAAAAAACAAGTTTTCTGACGTTTCGTGACTCAATGTAAGTCATTTCTTCAAAAAATAAATAACCAAATCAAAATTAATCCAAGTTTAAATAGTACAAAGGAACAACACAAGAACATTATGTGTGACTTGCTCAGACCTGTTTTTTGATTGGTCGCACATAATATTCTTGCTTTGTCCCTTTGTACTATTTAAACTTGGATTAATTTTGATTCGGTTATTTATTCTTTGAGGAAGTGACTTACATTGAGTCACGAAACGTCAGAAAATTTATATTTTCTACTCAATGGCATATTCCAAATATATTAATTTATTCATAACAATCTACTCAATCCTCAATTTATTGGAAATTATCAAGTCGAACCTCGTAAATGATACCTACTTTAACCCAAATTCATTATTTAAGTTAAAAAAGAATCTTTCAATTCAAAGATGGATAGTTGCTAGCAGTGAAATCCAGAACTGACCAATTTCAGTCCTAAATAAAAGTGGGAAGATACAAGTGAAACAACACCAAGTGAATTTAAGAAGGAATCTGTTCATCAGAGAAATTCTTGATATTTGTGTAGACAATTCTCGTCTGTCATTCGTTGTAATTAAAAAGCAAACCAACGATAATGACTTGATAAGGCGCTCAAATATCTGTATGTTTAGTTTTAATAGAAACATTTGGAAAGTTCCTAAATGAAAAACATCTTAGTTAATCATATACTTTTATGCCGTTATTATTTTGCTTGGCATAATAACGTTCTGTATTGATTACTGATTCCGCTAGCATTTATATATAGATACACTGTGATTATTAGTGTTGACATGTATACAAGATTAAGATTTCATGGTATTATTACGTATAATATCCAACTACTGCTCTGAAAAGCTTGTTATTGGAATTTATGAAGAGTTTAATTTTGAATCTCTAGTAAAAAAAACATTACATGGAGAAAACAAGCGAACTGGAAAGCAATGTGAAATAAAGCATAAATAGTGTCTAAGTGTTTTGCTTTTTAGTGGTGGCGTCTCAGTGTTGGTGTCTACGTTGAGGCTTGGACTCGATACATATCACTTCATGCTTCAAAACTCTCATTACTAAGCAACTCCGTTCAAATAAACACGAATGTGTTCTGTAGATGTGATTTCATTTGATTTGGCTTATCATTGAAACTCACTAGTGTATTTTAAACAGGTTGAGTACACTCGAACAACCTTGAAAATATACAACATGATAATTCGAACCCTTAAAAAATGTATTGAGGTTCATAAAAATCAATATATCTTTAGTTAAGCTAACATATCATCATTTCTAACTCATGCTATTTACATTTTATAACTAAATTTTATTTTCAATATTTGTTTACAGTTTAAATGTCTTTTATTTTAGTGCTGAAACTGAACAAGGTCTTTCAAGAAAGCATCTTTTTGAAGGTAAACAATATTCTACATGTTACTACATGTTTTATAAATTTATATATAAAATTGTTGTTCTCTTGCTAGACACTTGGTTTTTAGAATGGTGGTTGGAGGTAGTCAACAGAAAACCGTGGATTTGAGTTTCGTGCCCTTTGGCACTCTTCAGCAAGGTGCACCTGCAATCTTGAAGGAACTAGTGTTCCCTGACGGATTCGATCCCGTATCACCCAGCTTCACAGTCAGAGACGTTACCACTGGGCTATCCAGGCCGCGACCGACCTCCTGTAAGACTGAAATGTATTCACATTTGATTGATCACTGGGTGGTGATTAACGCCATGTGTGTCAAGCCCTTCTTAGTGCAGATCGAATGCTATCGACCAAGTTTGTTTTTTCAAATGTTATGTACTGAAACTTGATGATACTGAAGAAGCGAACGAATATAATAGATTTTTGATATTCCCTTAAAAGTATAGAACATTCATTAGCTTATTAAGAGATTTACATTTATAAAAGTAGATTTCTTTCTTACTCATAAATTGTAAGTTTTATCTGTAATCAAACTAGGTGATTGACGTTTAAAGTGCTAATAAATTTCTTAAATAATTCGATTATCTATTAAATCCGTTTTCTTTAATTATTCCCAAATGCCACAATGTATTTAAGTATGTATGATAATTTAATTAAATAATGAGATTATTTTCTGTATGACCTAATAATAGTGTAGTAAACGAGAACATAAGTGGGGACAAACAAACGTATCTTAATACAACATTACAGAACCTTTTAGTAAAATCTGAGAATCATACCGTAATACTTCATTTGCAAAATGTCAATCAATCGTCTCAGACTTTGTTATTCCTTCGTTTCTATACTAGTTATTCTTTGTTCTCGTTTCCTTCTCCTCAATCTTCTTAACCTTCTGCTGCCAGGCAATTCACTTTCGATTGGTAATACGTACTACTTATATCTGTCGACTTTAGTAGCATACACAATTATAGTATTATTTATGAAATACACAATCATTATTTTATATAGAATATAATAGATCAATTTATATTGAAATGATAATTGGAAGATATCATTCACTTTATCACACTAGACAAAGTTTATCAGTTTGCTAATAAGTAATAATTATTGTTTCTAGTATAAATGTAGGCAATATTGATAGATTGTTTATTTAAAATATAAAAATCTCATTATGTAAACAATTTATTCATATAAAAAGTACAACAAATTTCCTATGGAACATTGTGTAATCTAATTATGTAATAAAAACAACATGTACTTTTTTCAAAAAAAAAAAAACAAACAAGCGATGATAAACTTATAATAGGTCAAATAATGATCATATGATAGGGGAAAATGATTGATTAACTTTATCAATGTCATTGTACCTTGAATATGTTTCTTCTTAATGATAAGTTAACCTTATTTTATTAGAGTTCTGAAGATGTTTTCTGATTATTTACTAAGTAACTATAATATTATGTTCTTCATAAATATTATAAATAAAATATTAGCTCCCTTACATTATAAAACTAACTAGAAAGTTTCACGCTTATAGTATGTTAGTATTAAACTATTTATGCGGTTGGTTTCGTTTAATTATTGATTTTACAGTAAATACAATGGCTATTTCACATTATGCATCTTTATTTGTTCTCAATTTAGCGTTTATACATGTTGAAGTAAATCTTAATTATTCTATTAGACTATTAGTTTCTGTTATTAACTCTGATACTACATCAGTCAGTCAGCTACAACGTTAGATTAGGCAAACATATATATATATATATATATATATATATATATATATATATATCAATCTGTTCAAGTTGGCAGATATTTATTAGCACAACAAGATGTACACTAAATTCATAGTAGTAGTTATTTCAATGATATATATATTATGATATAGTACAGGAAGGAAAGCTTATTTCATAGAAAGGAAGGCATAAAGTGATTTTAATCTCACAGTTCAATGGAAGACAAAGAGTGTATACACCGACTCCATTATGATTGATCCTGAGGCATGTCATCCAGAGTCTCCAACGATTGGTTACGATAGTCAAGCGGACCCAAACCAAGTAGTCTGCATCTACCAACATGACTCAGACCAGAAGTCAGTGAATTCAAGGACTGATGCACGTCGTGGTAATCAGTGTTCAGACATAAGTAACACGTGGCACTATATAATACTAGTCGAATAAGAATAATCTCTTACTACTCCCGAGCTTAATGAATAGAATGCTAGAATTGGTAATGATAACTACAAATTTTCCAATGACACTAACCAATTAAAATGAACAGTTGTAACTAGCAAAAAACCAATGTTTCGTTTGCTACTAAACAATACATTAAAGAAAATCTTGTTATTTTCTAATGAAATAATTTTCCTAATTGTTTATTTCTAAATCTTTCTCTGAGAATAACGTGAGTAGTTTTAGTTTAAAATAAATAAACAAAGCATTATTGAAAGATATATATATATATATATATATATATATATATATACAACACGGAAATTGGGAACAAAGTGAGTTGTGTTTTTACTGAAGTCGTAGTGTGTGTCGCTTATTTCGGTATGAGTAGTATATAACGATAGTTAGGATTAGAATGTCTGGCAGTAGAAGGTCGAGAAGGAATAAACGGGAACAAAAAGCAATTAGTATGAAAATTCAGGAATAATGAAATTTGAGACTATTATTTTACATTTTGAAAATTATGTATTTACTGTATGATTCTCAGATTTTAGTAAGATGTTTTGTAGGTTTGCCTTCAAATACATTCGATTACCTCCACATGTGTTCACATTTACTACAAAAGAACTACAAATCTATAAAAGAATACTTAAAAGGCTTGAAAAAATATCTTAGTAATGCCTGATATTAAAGTATAGTTACGTTTTAATGAATAAATATAAATAATTTGATATTTTGAATAAGTCCATAGCACTTAGTACTAGCTACTTTGATTATTCGTAGTGTAGGTTGTTTGATAGAGATTTATTGACATCAATGAGTAAGTGTTACATTAGGAAGTTGTCCGAGAGAATTCCACGTCGTGCATTATTTGCCGACTCTGGGACTAGTTGGAAAAAGCGGAGAGTTGGTCAGTGTATGATATGGTGTCGTGGTATGAAAGAAAGCTGCAAAGGGTTGGCTTCTGTTGGTCCTTCACGACTCCCTGGCTGAGGTCCGAGAGACGGTGTAACGCAGTGGCTAGAGACGTTATTAGATATGGCTCAGAATAGAAGCCAGTGGCGATCCTGTTGTAACCTTCTTTTACTTTCTTCATAAAAAGTGGTTGTATCTTCCTTAACTGAAAGATTTCTTCTGATTGTACCTTTCCTTTTTCCCCTTCATTGTTCTCTCTCTCTTTTTTTTTTATAATTCCCCACGTTCATTACTTTTTTTTCTCCTTCTCTTCAAATTATCATTGTTTTGTGTGGCGCATATATATTTGGTGCCCGATTGTACCAATATTTATGTGTTCAAATAAATATAAAAAAATAAAGAAAAGGAACTAGCGAATGTGAAAAGTTGTTTAATGAACAATGGATACCTATAGAAATTTATTGAGAAATATGCAAAACGTGAAGTAAAGTAACCCGAAGAAAATATGATAAACAAGAAAACTATTTTTATTCAACCTAAGTTCAAAGGTGATAATGTGATATGGCTAGTCAGGATAAGACTAAAAACTCCTTTGACAAGAATTTGTTCTGCAGCTAAACTGATTGTATTGTCCGAAACTGATAAGATGGAATGAAAAGTCAAAATTCGATTGATTTATTCATTATGAGTTTTATTCAATATTACTTCCGTTCTGATTCAATGTGATGATCATTCAGTGTAGTATTTGTTTTATTGTCTCGTATAATATTTTATTCTGTATAATATATGATATTCTTGTATCCATATGACATGAACTATGCTCAGTATGTGATTTCTGATAACTGAGTATTTTTCCTATATGTGATTTCATAATAATTATTATTCAAATCGGGTTTACAATCAATATATAAGTGACTAAGGTCGTCGTCATCATCATAGTGTTTTGGGGCTAATAAATCTTCTTTTATACTAGTCTTTGTGTTCTTACTTTCGCGTCGTGGGAATCACAGAGGTCCCTTGTTCTGAGTATAAGTGATCAGCGTTTTTGATAAAACAATCATCGACGACCAGATAAACAAATAGCATTCGATTCACAAGATAAAAACAACATATTATTCAACACGATCCAAGATTGATAGGTATCCCTTTTATGTAACCACCAACTGTGTTTACAAATTCATATGTTTCGATAATGCAATGAGAAAATAATCTTCAACTTCTCATTGCATTATCGAAATTTATCAAGGGAGTAATTGTTTTAAATTCATGTGTATTTGCCAAAGCACTTACATTGGTAGAACCGAAAAGATAGCCTACGTGCGATCCAATGAATATATCCCCAAAAGTCTAAGGTCAAGTGAAGTAAAAGCATTCAGCTGTGCCATCTCGAGACATCTTTTTGATATAGAATATCAAGTGGATACATTGAAGTCTTTCAAGTTGATCAATAAGCAGTCGAACTTCAACATTCCGAAATTTGTCGAAGCTGTAGTAAGCAAACTTCTAAAACGAGATCCATGTGTTCAGAAAGAAACTAACGAATCTTTATTTGTTCTGGTAATATAACATCCTTTTTATTGCATCATTCAACTATTTCTGAAGTTTTGATTGTATCACTGTCTTGTTACTCTAATTCATATGTGACTAATTTCAAACCATATCTTTCTTTATTACCATCAATCTGTTATCACTTACTTCATTACACAATCATCTAATGCTGGTTAACTCTGACTTCTAATCACTAGTTCAGTGTTCTAGAACTTTCCATCTCAAACTTTATTTATTTATCTAGAACAAACAATTTTTAATGACCTAATTAACTCTATTGGAATTTTCACTGCAGCATAACGCACATAAACACCTTTAACCACCTTTACATTTATAATTATGTCAATATCTGTAATTAATTTGATTTTCAAATATTACAGGTTATAAGCAACTGACAAGAACCTAACGAAATGAATTAAATTTATATCATTCCGGGCTGTTCTTTATTTTTGCCCTCTTTATGATGATAAAGGGAACTATATGTATGAAAAGTAAACATTTAAATTTGATAGAAAGTGATGCTGTTTTTGAAATAGATTAGTCAGATAAACTGGATTATTACATTGTTACATTTGTAGAAAGTCCAACACAATAGGAATATGTTGCGTAGCTTTAATCAATGAATATTCAATTGTGAATCAATGTACTATGCTTCAAAAATCTACTTCAGGGCAATTTAAGATACAAATGACAACATTTCTATCAGCCACTGAAAAGCTGGAAGTACTGAACAGCCGTTTCGTCTTAAAAGATAGTGGAGACGTTTTTTGGCTCAGGTGAATGATTTTAATGGGGTTTTGTTTTCTGAACTGGATGGTCTGATCGTGGAGCTTTTATTATTATTCTAAACAACATCACCAGCACTAATCTCAAGTAGGAGTAAAGTGTTCAAACTTCTCCATCAAGAATCCACCAAGAATTAAATCAACGGGAAATACAATAAAAATAATTAAGAAAAGAATGACAGGTTAAAGGTCAACAATAACCAATCAAGATCTAGGTCAATAGAACAAGCTGTGAGCCATATGTGGAGAAATTTGAACACTTCACTTCTACCTAAAGCTTGTGTTGATAATGTTGTTTGGGAGAACATAGAAAGCTCCACGACCAAATCATCCAGCTCAGAAAACAAAACTCCATCAAAATCACTTTGTCTTAGTATGATACTCGCGGCAGTGCACATCAAAAACCCCACATGCGGGACTCGAACCTAGGACTTTCGATTGTGTGAAAACTTTTAACCTCTAGATCATACTAGGACAAAACTACCTTCTAGGTTGTCAGTAGTGGTCTAACTTAATTCAGTTCATGATTCAAATGTGATACATTTAAGTTATTTTTGAGGGTGGTAGGCTGGTCATACTAAACTAAATACTGGTTCTCTGAAATCTTTATGTTTGAATAAAAAATAGAAGGAGCGACACTTACTATTTTGATTAGAAATTTAATCAACAATAGCGGGGGCATACTGCCTCATTTTGTACAATTTGCAGCCATCATTTATTTATTAAATGCTTTCCTTACACTATTTTAAGAATGTATTCGATATATTTTGTGAAACAGGTCTTCGGTCATCCTTAGAAAGACTTCAATTAGAGTACGTAGATATTGTGATTGTTACACGTCAAAATGAATCATCGATTCCAGTTGAAGAAGTTGTAAGAACTTGTACACATCTTATTCACCTTGGTTGGACATTTTATTGGGGTACATCTGGATGGTTACCTTGTGAAGTTATGGTAAGATTTCATGAATGAATGTTTATTGCTTTCAATTGTTAAGGTTAAGAAGTAAACAAAGTTTCTTATTCATCTAATCATTCGTTCAAAATGTTATATAAAATAAGTTAGAAATACTTAGATTGGAATAAAACAGTTGGAAAGAAAAACATATATATTGTCTATTATATTTTATTACATAAGAATTTATCAGCTTTCTGATTATCAGATTAGGAAGAGTCATATGACAAAAGAGTTTGTTCACCGTCAATCATATTATAATTTTTATTTTCATACATTTTCATATTAAAAAGCGGAAACCGTGGGAACCCGCTGAAACAGGATAGTCCAATTCTTGGAAAACGGGAAGTTTACCTTCTTTATTATCTTGATCTTGAAATTCTTTGTAACTGTCACATTTTATTGAATTTTCAAAACTACTTGACGTTTTGAAAGGATAAAGATCATGATAGGAGTAAAACAAGAAGGCTTCTGGTTTGGGAATCGCTCCCATACAATAAGGTTATAATTTGTTTTTTTAAACAAAAATTGTAATACTATTCTTTAAACATTTTCCATTGATACATTGTAATAACTGAAGCGCCGCTAAAGTGATTTCACTGAAAATTTGATTGTCAAAACAGAAGAATTTGAAGAAACTTATTAGTAAAAATAAAGAAAAGATGTTCTAGGATTACATATTGTTTATAAATATATGGGATTGCATTCCACGTGACGGAATGTGTGGTAAATAGTATACTAATAGACATTTAGTTATACTAATTTAATTACTGACTTACTTACTCCTGTTACTTCTTGTGGAGGAGCATAGGCCACCCACCAGCACTCTCTATCCAACCCTGTCCTGGGCAATTCTTTCCAGTTGTTATTCATCCCTTTCATATCCGCTTCTGTTGCCCGACGTAATGTGTTTTTTAGCCTTCTTCTTTTCTACTTCCCTTCAGGATTTCAAGTTAGGGCTTGCCTTGTGACGCAGTTTAGTGATTTGCGTAATGTATGTCCTATCCACTTCCAATGTCTTTCCCTAATTTCCTGTTCATCTGGAAGTTAATTTGTCCTCTCCCACAGTAGGCTGTTGCTGATGGTATACGGCCAATGAACATTAAGTATCTTGAGTAGACAACTATTTATAAATACTTGTACCTTCTTGATGATAGCTGTAGTAGTTCTTCAAGTTTCAGCTTCATAAAGTAGGACTATGTTGACGTTCGTAATGAAAATTGTGACATTGACACTGGTTGACGGACAGTTGTTTTGAATTTCATATGTTCTTCAATTGTAGGAATGCGGCTCTTGTTTTGCATTCGCTAGTAAAATTATTTGAGCTATTAAAAAGGGGACTTTCATTACATACTCGTTGTTAGGAGTTTCTTTTTACATTCACTTCGTGACGTTAATTTGTCAAGTAAATAAATGTTTTTGTTAGACATTTTTTTCAATTCTTTTAAACTTTACATCAGTATATGGTATTTTCCTCTTTATATGATGAAATTAAATTAAATGGTCTAGATGTCGGCATATTGAAGTAAGACTTTGTAACCTTTGACGATTATAGACAGATCAGAGAATTCTATTAGAACGTAGATTATGTATCCCTAAGATTCAGCTCGATATTCTTTTCGCCTAGGTGCTTTGTGATTTATTGAATTCGATCAATCATATCCGATATGTTTAAAAAGTACACATGAGACATATGGTAGTTGATTGTAAAAACTTTGGTTTGAATATGCGTTCTTCACATTTCAGCTTACAGCAATCAGTTGATCAGCATTACTAAAGTTTCATAGATAGATTTTATTTTAATATGGTGGATAGTTATCGAAGAAAAGCATGGGAAACCCACGACAAATATTTCAAAAATGGAATCTTTTAGAAGGTTTGTTCATCCGCTTAGCCACAGAAACAGGAAAATATGTACAGGCAAAACTGAAGTAGAACAATTTTTTAAAAATCCTTAAGGAACTATTTACGAACTCAGATAACTTTCTCTTGGTAGTACATCGTTCAGAGTAAATCTCCTAAATGTACTGGATTGCTAAGATTTATTCTATTAAAATAGGACAGACAAGTTATCAATACTGTATACTTACCAGTTAACTAAAAAGTCAGCAAATCATTCAAGCCAAGTGCTCGTAACCAGATTAACTTCAATAACTTTTTTTCGAAAACCATTATGATCTCGTTGTTTTTTTCAGTTAACTATGCTTAAATAATCTTTAAAATTCTTTATAAATTTCAGTATATTTACTTTAAAAACAACCTTTTATTATTTAGTATTTTTCAGTAATATGGTTAGTTTCTATTAACTAATTCATTAATTGCAATCTTTAGATACAATCTTTATACGCAAAGATGAAAAGTGGCTAGCAATGGAATCCCTAACGTGCTATTCGTCCTATTTGAGACTCGTCAACTGGATGTACCTGCATCCCACAGTTGGTGTTCACTTCAGAATCGGACCCAGTACCGTTCGCTTCAAACGCCATGGCGTTGTCCACTTAGCTACTGAGTCCTGATAGCCACCTGCTTAAACAATGGGGTGAAGTTTACATTCACTTGGTGTTGGTTTACTTGTATCTTCTCATTGTCCAAAATAGAACGGGACGTACGTCCTGGATTCCACGACTAGCTACAATTCATCTTTGCTTATAAAGCTCGTGACTTAAGGCTTTATTAAGGCAATCCACATAGAATACACATAAGCCAACAACAGACTGATCAATTGCAGTCCTAAATAATAATAAGAAACTACAAGGAAACAACACCAAGCGAATTCAGATAAAACGTTTTGTTATTTTAACTGTTTATCCACGAATTTTAAACCATAAAATAGGGATCATTTTGTTTGTTTTTCTATCAAATCATAATCAAATCAGCATATCTTTACTGGTTTGATAAACTGTACATACAAGATCATCATTTTACCATTTAATAAACTATTTGTATAAGTTTTCTTTCATTAGGATATAATATTCTTTAGAATATGACAAATCGTAAGACAGTGTATATTGTGTCTACAAGTATCTCCTTGTGGCGAGACGATAAATTATGAACGAACTAATCAGATTTACAGTAACAGGTCATGAATTTAGGCGTAAAATTTACTCATCCATTTGGCTAAATAACATCTTGACATTTTAGGTGATATCAGTTCGTGATAAAAAACCCTAAATCTAATCCCTACCCCTAACCATAGACTGTAAATCATAATCCTTATTCTTTACACAGGTTCACAACTCTCATTCAGTCTTGGTGGATATTCTCAAGGTAACCTTAACGTCACTCAAAGGTCGTCCATAAATTATAGTCTCACCCTCATTGTTTTAATGCACCATTAATTAGATTATATGAATTGATCATATTTATATCCAAATGGTTTATAATTTTTTTTTACTAATTTTTCATTAGCAAGCTCAAACAGTTGCCAGACAATTCAATTTAATCCCACCATCTGTAGATCAAAATGAATTGAATTTATTGAATAAAAATTATTTGCAGAATATGCGTGAAATTTGTTTAAAACTAAGTAAGTATACAGCAAAAAAAAGAAGAACAAATATGTTTGACAATTTGATTCCCTACCATGAAATCAATGTTTAAAATGTAATGCATCAGATTTTACAGTTAAGCCAGCCTATATAACATACTATAGGTATGTGTATGAAAAGCGAAAGTACTGTGAAAAACGTTTCTTAGAGGTTATCATTTTTATTCAAGTATCTGCATTATGTAGTAAACATTGATCTAATAATATAATTTTAATAGTCGAATTTATGAGTCGATTAAATCTAGACCACCATGGAAAACCCAAAAGAACTGAACGGCAGTTTTGTCCTCGTGTGAGACTTTTCAGTCGTGAGGACTTACAATCCTGTACATAGGATTCGAAGCCAGAACTTTCGGACTCGCACGCGAACTTCTAACCACTAGACTACTGAGCTAGTGGACATTTAACGGTGTTAATATCTAAGTTCAACTAACCTATAATACTACACGATGGAGTTAAAATCTACTACAACATCCACAAAACCCTCATTCTGAAAATAATTTTAACTCTCATTGAATTATAAACAAATAATTTGTTTTTAATTTTAAAAGCCGTAAACACGCAAACTCGTTGAAAATTATAATAAGCGCTAAATATTTGAAATCAACATATAAATCAATGTTAATTATATTTAGCTTAAAATTTAAGTGTTTTTCAAGGAATAAATTGAAATCAAATAAATGATGATTTAAAATCTTATCATTGTTACAATGATAAAATTTTATTCATTATTTTTTTTTGAATTGGTAACTATTTGTAACTAAGCAAGATACTATAATGATTACATTTCACAATCGATAATTTTTTTCCTCACAATCATTAAGTCGTTATTTCGTTTCTTCACATATATAAAATACAATAAATAAAAAAATTATGATAGTTGAACTGTTAAAGCGACTAATCGAATAAAACTACAGTCTACCTGAAATTCTCTTGAGGATGATCATATGATTTGATAAATGCGTTCAAATATATGTTTGATCAACTGATGAAATTATATTGATCATAATGTTAATTTCAAATGTTAATTCAGGCAAAACTTTGTAAAATGTTCAATTTAGAGTTTGTTTTGATATTCAGATATCATTCATTCATTTCTTAATCTCTTATACATATCATAATCATTTGCATAAAGAGTACAATGAATTATAGAAGAAAAGTATTCATGGGATTAGAAAGAACTATTGTCTTCTTGTTTGAAATTTTATTTAACCACAGTGTTCGAATTTGATATGTGGATAGTATTAGACTAGATTTAATAATATCAACTAGGCAGTCGAATACCTATTATATATCTTACAGAATGTAAGGATTTCGAATCTGTAACCAGAAAAAAGTTTAAAACATAAAATTCAATCGAGTTTACGTTATATATCTTGAAAGAATCTGAGTATAAAATAGTACCCAATGATGTGTTCAAACTATGATAGAGTTTCGACATGTCAACTTAGGTTTTAAAAATACACATAACGTTCCTGTAAACCTCTAACGTTTGTTGTAAAACTAGCGCATGCATTAAACTACTACATGAAGTTTATTGTTTAAGTATGAATTACTTCTGTCGTGTATTAGTTCGAATATTATTGACGCTTATTCACTTAATTCAAATAATTCCAATATCATGCTGGAAGTGATAAATCCATCGGTTTCCTATACTGGAACTTGGTGGAATATTTTGTTCAACAATATCCGGATTGCTTTTGCATCGAAATTTATAATGATGTCATTAGTCATTAAAATATGAAATAATTTATTTTTGAGTCAATCTTATTAGCTAATTTAACTGTCGGTGAATATATGCTTTTATCAGATAGCTGCGATTATTAGTCTTTAATGTGACAGACTTAAGCGATAGAAAACTCTGAACCTAGGTTTTGCGGTGACTGAAACTTTCCAGTAAAGAGTAACTGTATCCTTGAGGGAAGTAATGCTTTCTACAGAATCAGAACCTATCTCATCTTGATTCACACTCTGAGATATTGTCGGGTTTTTCTGTATACTATTTTCAATTAAATAACATTTCAAAATATTACAAACGATATTGGGTTACTTAGACTAGTATCTACATTGTAACTTGGTTGATTGAATTCGACTAGCATTAAAAGACTTAAAACAAAATATGACACTGGTCACCATTCAGTCATCAACCAATGATAGTTACTAGTAAACAATAGTTTTCATACATCGATTTGTTGATTATAATAAATTTCAATCGTAAATGACTGTAAGATATCATAATATTGTACATGTTTTCTTTTAAATATTTTAGATATTGGTATTATGACAGGATCACCGTTAAGTGGTGGCATTTTAACCGGAAAATACATTGACTGTATACCGAATTTTTCACGAGCCACACTAAAAGTAAGTTTTTGAGTTTAAATTTCTATCTGGCAGAAAACTAATTTTTGATTTAATGATGGTTTTGAAGTGTTATGCAAAAACAATTATATTCACAGGTTGAAATACAGTAGTCTACGAATATAAACGATAATTCTTAAGTATCCTTTTATAATCATCTGATTGTTATATGAAGTAAAGGTCTAAACAGACTTACCTGTTTATAATATTTATTTATTTGAATGATCATTCGTAAGATAGTAGAGTAGATGGTGAGAAAAATGAAGAGCGAATGCATTTATAAACAGAATATTAGTACAACTAATCTTTATAATTAGCAAAAAGTGTCTAACATTTTTCAGATGGTAGAATGAAATTTTGTTTGATTAGTAATGTGACCTCACTGAAGATAATATAGATGTTTGTATAAAAGAAAAATGTTCAGAATAATCTGCTAATAATCAGATGAAATGCATTTTACCTGTCATTATTTTCAGAGTTCCTAAAAGGATTCACATGAGAAAAAGAGATTACAAAATGGTGAAATTCTTCATTCAGTTGGAGGATCAAAATTCGATTTATTCTTAAGGAATTACACGAATAATTAATGTGTCGTAAATCATTTTTATTAAATATAAACTATTTATTTTAAGCAAAGATGGATAGTGGCTAGGATTGGAATCCATGACGCACATTTCGTCCTATTTGGGACTCGTTAGCTGGACGTACCTGAATTCCAGAGTTGATGTTCACTCCGGGACTAGAACCCATTACCGTTCATTTCAAACGCCATCGAATTATCCACTTATCTACTGAGTCCTGATTGTGAACATTAACCCAGAAATTCAGGTACATCAAGCTGACAAGTCCCAAATAGGACGAATCGCGCGTCCTAGATTCCACTGCTAGTCACCAACCGTCTTTGCTTATAATGCTTGTGAATTGAGGCAATCCACATAAGATACACATATGCTAACAAGAGATTGATCAATTGCAGTCCTAAATGACAATGTTTTTTATTGATTTTAGAATCAAGAAGATATACGTGATAAACTTCTTTGTTCAAAAGGTATTAGTCAAAGAGAACAAGTTAAACAATTATGTAAGATAGCAGGTAGAATTAAATGTACTTGTGCACAATTAGCTATTGGTAAGTTGTAAAATACCCTTCCACCATACAGATAATATATATGCTGTGAACTGTAAAAGTGAAATCATCTAATGACTAATTTTAATATTACCTTACTCAAATCAATAATTTGACTAGATTTTATTGACTATGAGTACTGATAAACATTTACAAAAATTGTATTGATTCAATACAACAAATAGTTATTATTTAAAAAGAGAAACAATAAGAAGAAAAATGTTGGGTTTAATGGAAGTTTGATTTGTTTATCATTTGAATTGCAAATTTTATTTTCTTTGTTATCTTTTGAAGTAATCAAAGCTTATAGAAGCATGCTGCATCGAACAACGATATTGTGACCTTTTCTTTATAACTTTGCAATAAAAACAGTCTCTTAGTGTTTTACATTTTAGATTGGGTAGAATACAACATCATAGTAGTGTTTCGACAATGTAATAATATGTTATTATTTTACAGATACCCTAGTACGAATTGACCTTTCCTTCTGTTCAGTTAAAAATGTATATGATATTTTAAATTTTCTCACAAGTGACTAGCTTTAGATGTCAGCTCAGTAATCTAGAGGTTAAGTGTTCGCGAGCGAGACGGAAGGTTCTGGGTTCAAATCCTGTGTGAGGGATCGTGGGTGCGTACTGTTGAGGAGTCTCGTTCTAAGACGAAACGGCTGTCCAGTAATTCCGAATTTTCAACGATGGTATAACATTGATTACTTCATGATCTGAATGAAAAACTTGACAATCTCCGCAACCCCACACTGAAAACATTTAAAAATTTGATAATGGTACAGTTGATTGGTAATAAACTGAGAGAAATATCCACGTCACTTATCCTATTGAAATAATACATTTTAACTGATACAGCAAATAAACACATAGCTTAACAATTCATTAAAACAAACTGTTTTAAATGTGTTTATGAACAACTTTAGTTAAATTTGACTGTGCTCTATAAAATAAGTTGATTCTATTCGTCCTTCTCCGTCATATTTTGAACGTGTAACGAAAACTACACGTTCAGAACAAGCTCTCTAAAATTTCACTACATTATGCCTTTAAAATTAGAAAGACCTTATGCTTATTCTATTCGATTTACTTCTTTTCTTTGTGTGCGAATCAACTTATTAGCTTGGTGTCTTCGCTGTTCACATATTAGTAGTGTTGTTATCGGAGCAGCAACGGTTGATCAGTTACATGAAAACATAAGATCAGTATTGGTAAGTATTTAAAAATATTTCTGGAAAAATTTCAACACTATTTGTAAAACGATAAATGAGAATTATTTGAGATTTTAAAGAAGATTCGGCCAGACTATAATTTATGGACGAACCAATCACATATAAGATAACAAGTCTCTGATTTTGGCACGAAATTCACTCATTCATTTGGTTAAAAAGTGTTTTGGCATTATAGCTGATGTCAGTTCGTGATGAAAACCCGAAACGTATTCCCTAACTTTAAAAATCGATTGTAAATCATTTGGTCCTAGTTGTTAGGTGTACGCTCTTAAGGTTACTTTGGCGTCGCTCGGAGGTCGTCCATAGATTATAGTCTAATTGAAGAATCAGTCAAATGGCGAATATTCATTTTATTCAGTGTTTTTCAAGAACAAAACTTTAGGGTTGTATTCTGCAATCGTAATAAACAGCTAAATAAATTGATGTTCAAAGCTTAAAGAATCCTACAGTTTGAGATTATTTTCTTCAATAAATCAGAACAGAGTAGTTTATTCAACATTCTCAACTAATTACTTCATTTGTTATTATGGCTCTACATGTTTGTCATTCACTGGTGATTATTTGTGTACTGTTACGTGAACATTTTGCTGACGTTTACCTAAAGCCATATATTAATGTATGCACATTTAAATGTAAACACTAACATTGTATGTAAATATGTATGTTCACAAGTAGGAGGCTAAAATAATAAAAACTCATATACTGTAGTTAACCAAATTACCAAAGAACATCAAATGATCTATTAATTGCCTTTCCAGCTGAATTCTATTTGTGTCAAATTGGACAGATTTCGCTACCGCCTATTTTATTATTCACCATTTTTTCTGTTATATTGAGTAGCCTAGTAATCAGTGAATTATTATCTTCATTAAACAACTTAACGTTCAAGTATAGGAGTGTTATTGAGGCAAGAAAATATGACACTTTAATATCTATTTCGACTAATTATTACGTGAAACTGGTGAAGATTGGTGAACTAAATGGATAAAGTCTTACGATTTCTCGTTACTTATATTAATAAATAGACTTAAAATGAATTTTAAGCAAAGATGGATAGTGGGTAGCAGTGGAATCCAGGACGCACGTTTTGTTCAATTTTGGGACTCGTCAACTGGGTGTACTTTTATCCCATAGTTGATGTTCACTCCAGAATCAAACTCAGTACCTTTCTCTTCAAACGCCATGGCGTTATCCACTTAGCTACTTAGTGCTAATGGTAGTAGGGTGAAGTTTAAATTCACTTTGTGTTGTTTCCTTGAATTTTCTTATTGTTTTTAAGGACTGCAATTGATCAGTCTGTTGTTGACATATATACATTCTGTGCGAATTGCCTTAATATTGATTTTATTTATTATGATGATTAATATCAGCTTCTAAAAGTTCAATAATAAGTGATAAATTTAATAATTATTAAGGCCGAAGTATACATCAAATAAACTAATAAAATATTTGTTACATATGTAATAGTTACAAATATTCTTCCCTTACACACTGGATCTTCTGATTCAAGAATAATACTATATTCCAGGTAATAAGTAGTTAACGAAAATTTTCAAATTCAGTGGTTTGAATTATTTTTTTCTGGTTAGCAGTTTTTTTAGCGAGTTAGTTTTGTACAAGTTAGGATCGCTAACTCCATGCCCAACCCTCCTCCTTTAGCCGATCTTGAGATAGGCAGTAGCACAAAAGGAGCTCCAGGTAGAGTTCAATTCAATGTATCCATATAATTTTGATATGAATGTAAATCTTGATTTATTTAAAATTAATAAATAGGAAATTAATATGCTTATTTTTTCTCTATTCAATTTTTATCTTTTATTAATTAGATTTATCCACATTTAACTGCAAGTATCATATCGGAATTAGATACTTTATTAAATACAATTGACTCAAATGATAACTTTCTTTAAAACAAAAGTATCATAAATTGAATTAATAAATATTATAATTAACAATTAAAACAGCAGGAAATAATAATATTTAACTCAATTCAAAAAAACAAAAAAAACAATCACGGTTGGCAACTAAATGGTGGGGGGGAGTAAAAGAAGAAAAATAAAAATGGATGAACAATTGTCAGTTATTTTCACATGATTATTAAATTCAATCAACCAACTTTGAATAAAATCCTTTTACTATAATGAATAACGGTGATCAATATAAATTGAGAAAATGATTTTAAAAGTTTATATAAGTTTTAATAAAATGATTTATTTTATTTATACTTATTTATAATGTTATGGTGTATTAGATGAGTAACGGTGAAGTTTACATTTTTAAACAAACTACCTTGTATTATGCTTAGTTTTTAGAAACATAGTTATAAAGTCAAAGAATAGAGGAAAATACGTGTCTGAATATCTAAACAATTATATGTAAATATATTTTCATGGTTTGTTATATACACTAAATATATATGCCTGCAAGTACAAAGTGTTTTAGTTGTCTTGTATGTGACTATACTTAGATCGTTGCTAATTGTTATTGAAATAAACATGTTACTAATTCTCGTATATAATTATCAACTTAACTTGAATTTGTGAATAACGGCATTGAATAAGTCAAATATGAGAATAAAGTTTGAATAAGTATATTTTGAACAATCGTTGATCAAAATGCAAAGCGAAACGAAATGACGCATAGTGGAGAAAGAGAATGAGCCAACTTGTTTTTATCAAGCGTGGCTTCACATTTATAGTCTGGTAAAAATAAGTTATGAACACATGATGAATAGGGTAAGTAATTAACACACATCATATTAAAACAGTTGGAGTAAATATACGAATAAATGACAGGGTAAAAATACGACTTGAGAATAATGAATAGATTGATCTGTCCAGAGGCTAGCATAACCTACATGGAGTTGACAGAGGACCAGCCCCCACAGTGTTATTTTTTAAAAAAGTATGATGACTTCTTAAGATAAGTTTTTGGAGAATAATGCTGATATCTCAAACTGTCTGACTATAGAGAACTTGTACTGATGATATGTATAACACATGATTTAATGAACTATACTGTTTAGCATTTACTGAAGAGGCAGTTTAATTAATAAAAAATTAAACATCGTGACTGAATTAAAAAAGCTCTGTAACTCACATAACATAATAAGTTAGAACAAACCTTTTGTATTTTTACTTTAAAATCAAACTTTAAAAAAGATAAAATGAACTCAAAACGTTTGTAGCTTTGACACAATTTGCAAACGATTTAAGCAATCCAACAGTATTCTATAAATAGCTAATATTTTTAAATGCTTTCCATGCTAGCAACATCATTTCAAGTCAAAGATTTACGGTTATTTTTAATCAGATACAAAGTGAATTTCATGAAATAACAAGTTTTGTTTTATCTTTATTTTCAGTATAAAATTATATTGTGGAAAGCTTGATAATGTTTGGAAGCATCTTGTAACTATTTCAATAAATGACAAATTGTTTCACTATTAAAAAGAAAGACAACATGTTTTATTTTGGCATGTTTACTCTGAAATTGGTTAAGTGTCAGCTAACTTAAAATCATTTGCATTTATCAATAAACTTCATTATGATAATTAGTCAATCAGTCAGTTACAACGTATAACCAAGCACATATATGCATCGGTCCAAGTTCCCATACCTAATTAGCACAACAAGATGAACACCGGATTCATAGCAGTAATTAAGTCTGGTGGTAATATATAAAAGAAAGATTGCATATAAGGATATGGTACAGGAAGAAAGTTAGTTTGTAGAAAGAAAGATGAAATAATTTTAGTCTCATAGTTTAAGGGAAGACAGAGAGTGTATACACCGACGCCATTGTGATCGATTCTGAGCCATGTCACCAAGAGTCTCCAACCATTTGTTACGATAGTCACGCGGACACAAACCAAGTAGTCTGCATCTACCAACATGGCTCAGACCAGAAGTTAGTGACTTCAAGCACTGATGCTACATTTTAGTTCGGCCGTACCTACCTTTCTTCAAACCACCCCCAACACTAGTCAGCATTGCGCGTCGTGGTAATCGGTGTTCAGGCATACGCAACATGTGGCCTAACCATCTCAGACGATGATGATTCACAATCTCATCAACTGATTTACCATCATTCCCTATTACCCTGCGTCTAACCGATCGTTGTTGCTACCTTGATGTGGTGGTCGGGCTTGCCTATTGTGATGAAGCGATCGAGCTCTACTGGTTGGAACAATTGTTCCTCAAGGTCCCACCATGCAATACAGGTTGGTTGAAAAACGGTAAGACTAAAAGCAGCAAACACAAAGTCCAAAGATGAAGTCCTACTGCTGTGTTTCTTTCAGACAACCAGCATAACAGCGATGCTGTCTTCCCACAAGGACGAATGTGGTTATAAAAGGTCGACCCTGAAAATGAACACCTCGCCTTATCCCACGGATATCTGTATTTGGCTGTAAGGTCACAACAATTACGGTGCTAACATGGAAATTGCTCACTAAAAGGTCGTGTGTAACCGACCTCAAGCAGTTGTCCCTTGGGCTCTCAGATCAATAAGACCACCTTTAACCCGGTTTCCTTTTCAGGTACCTCCAGAAGGACCTTTCCACGATGTGGGCGACCATGAAGTGATAACCGCCCTCATACCTCTGACAGCATTCAAAACAATTGTATTCATAATAATTATGATAATTAATTTTAAAATGAATAATAATAAGTTGTTGCCGATTAAATTTGACAATAAACATAGCTAGTTATAAGCAACAAGTTTTTTTAAACAAAACTATTCTAAATCCATTACATTCCATACATCTGCTTGTAAATATGGACAGTGAAGTGTCATGAATATGCCTATATATTTTATCTTTAACAGTATAACTGAATTACAAATCCATTGTTATCAAAATGTAGCATTAAACAGAATACATAAAGTGAATTTATCAGTTTAGTGTTATGGGAATTGTTGAGTTTTGATTGAGACATGGATGGATTAGTGCTTGATCGCCATCGGGAACCTGGAACCACTAGACGGCCGTTTCGTTCCAGTATGAGACTCCTCAGCAATGCGTATCCAAGACTTTAACACCTCTGGATGTCAGTTCAGTGGTCTAGAGGTTATGAGTTCACGCGCGAGACTGATAGGTTTCGGATTTGAATCTCGCAAATGGGGTTGTCGATGCGCACTGCTAAGGAGTCTCATACTATGACGAAACGAGCGTCAAGTGTTGCCAGGTTTTTAGTGATGGTCTAACATTGATCTATTCATTATCTCAATCAAAATAAAATTAGCCTACAAAAGGTTGACCTAGATTCGTTAATAAAAATAAGAAAATGCCAGATGTTAAGACTTTCAATCTTTTCGTTTCTTTTTTTTGAAATAAAATTCTTTTCAATGTAAAGACAATTCAGCTGTAAGTATTTCTGCGGAAAAGATTACATCATTGATTTCAATGGATTTATGTTAGATTCTTTTTTTCAAAAAAATTTATTTTCACAGTTGAAATAATTGTAAATTTTTACATTATTTCAAAAATTCCTCTTTTCGTTTATCGATTCTTTCCATGGATAATTTTGTAAGATGCTTGTTAAATTTTATAAATCCATGTTGATTTGTAAATTTCATTGATATTTCTCTGACATTAATCAACATATGCTCACTAGTTACTGGCTTCAAAGAGGTATTTCCTGGAGTTCTAGTGAGAAGCAGTGACCAGTAGAGTTCAACTTGGTCTTTTTTGGGTGATAGTAACTCACTGAAGACAATGGTGGATATGTCGCTCAATTTCATGGATTGGTTGAAGTTAGATATTAACACCATTGGATGCCGGCTGATTCAGTGGTCTAATGGTTAAGCGCTCGCGTCCGAGACTGATAGGTCTTGTGTTCGAATCTCGCGAGGCTGGATCGTTGATGCGCATTGCTGAGAAGTCCCACATTAGGGCAAAATGGGCTTCTAGTGCTTCTAGGTTATCTATAGTGATCTAGCTTCGATTCACTCATTATCACAACTATTGAAATTTTATTGAATTAAATTGAAATTTTCTGATAAATAGTCTTTACACTGATCAGTAATGTAAGCCACTTCTTCAGAGTAAATAAATAATTGAATTAAACTAACAAAAGTTTAAATAGTACAAAGGAAGCTATACAGAATATATTTGGTACAATCAAAATCATAATAGGTGTGAATATATCAATATGAAGTTATCCTTTGTCTGTAGCTGTATTAGTTTGTGTGTCAGACTGTGGGTATAAAAAAATGTATGGTTTTGTAAAATCAAGTAGTGAGGTTGAAATTTGGTGTAAATGTGTGTATGTAGACTGTGTGAAAAATAAACAAGGTCAAACAAGTTTGTTTGAATAAAGAGTCTAGGTTGAGTGAACATTCAGGCCTTCTTTCCTATTGAGGACAGAGGGATGTAGCATAATGTGAAACTCTTCGGCTGCTCTCCTCTATAGTTGGAAAAGCCTTTCTGAATTATTTTGACATTTTTAATATTAATTTGGCGATTATTGAATGTAGCATGTATTGCTATTACTGATTTAACCTGTAAATTTTCCAATGCCACAGGATTATTAGGAAGTCGTTTCGCGTAACTTAAGTGTTCAAATTTATTTACTGACCACTGGAAACGGATGAAAAATGAAGATCTTCAGTTACTTAGGATAATTAATCTTTCTCCATTCTAATTATTTTTGATAATGAGTAATAATTTCTCGGTGTTTGTTACAACTGATATTAGTTTTTGTTGTATTTACAGAATATACTTAGCACTTTGAAAGAAAGATCATGGATTGAGTGACTAAAGTAAGAAAACGAAGAAAATAAATAAAGATTTATTTATGTTTTGTTCGCTACTTGACTAACACAGAATAAGGTATACAACTACGACATTCGGACGTATAAATACTCACAGTCGCAAATCAGAAGACAGACGAAAGCTGAAGAAGTGTTT